CAAAAGCCTGACTTGTGGGCCTGATCTCTGATCTGACGGGATAAGAAAGCCCAAGAAACCAGCTTGGCTAATGCCAGAGGATAAATGACAAGGAACTTTGTTTCCATGCCCTTCTGGGCCAGGACATCTCAGGAACAGTAAGGGCAGTAAGTCGTCCTTCAGGGATCCTCACCTGCCCTTCCATGCAGCCAGACCCTTCTGGCCTCCAGGCTGACCCTTCCTGCGTGGAAGAGGGGTTTCTGTATTAGATGAGCTCTGGGGCTGTTGACCTAAGGAAAAGGGCCCCTGATTTGGCAGAGAGAAGACAAGGGGGAACTGTAGAACATCTGATGTCAATTAATAAATCGGAAAAATGTGACAGCATGATTCGTGGGTTTGGATTGGTGATTGGGGTTCTTTAATAATGAAAGATTTGTTTATTGCTATAGTTTTTATCTTTCCTCATGACCCATAGCAGCTCTGAGCCTGCCATGGATTTATCACCATCTACTGAGCCACAGAGGCTTCTGCCACTGCCTGCCCTTGTCTCCTGCTTGTTCCCTCATGGTCAAGTCCCAGGAGTCCTCCAAAGAAAAGTGTTTTCTCAACAGGTACACTCCTGTAATCCCAGCCATTCAGTTGAGGATTGAGGCAGGAGGATCAAAATCTAGGGCCAGTTGGGGCAATTTAAAAAGTGTTTCCTCAGAAGACAGTACACAAGTCTTCCATTAGAGGGTGCAGTTGGGCCTTGTGTTTCAGGCAGTCAGGGCAAACCTCCTTGGCTTGAGGCCTGGAGGGATTCTGTGGTATGGCTCCTGGAGAGGCAGGAGCTTGAGGAGGAAGGGACCTCTGCTGCCACTCAGAGTAGGTTTAGCTAACACTGCTTAACCCACCTGTACAGTCACTATCCATGTGTATGACTTTGTTCCTTTTTAGCCATGTCTGCCCCTTTATTTCCTTTGCCAGCCTGCTAGATGTGAAGCCTGGACAAACTCTTCCCTTCTCTAGCCTTCCTCCCTCTTCCCGCCCTGGGCTTCTTGCCAAAAAGGCGCAAGGAGTTTTGCTTCTTCCTCTTGGCACCCCTTATAGAAGTCACCAGGCCTGTTTTCCTGTAGTGACCTGCTTTCAGACATTGTCCTTGTGAGATAAAATAACAAGGGTTAGTGTTGGAGTAATCTTATGGCATGCTGGGCCCCCAGGGTAAACAACTCATGCATATTATTTCAACTCCAAACCATTCTGTGAAGATTTAGTAGGCCCATTATTCAGATCAGAAAACAGGCACAGTGGGGTAAAGTTACTGCCTTCCTGTAGATTATAAGAAATGGAGCCAGGAGTATCTGCATTTGAGAATCTTAACTCACAAGCCCAGATGTGTCCCTCCTGGAGCAGGAGTCTCAACCTATCCTGAACTAGGGGGAGAAGAGAAAGCCCACCATTAGGCTGATAGTTAATTGTCCCTGGGACTCAGCTCAGCAGGTCAGTCACTCTGGGTATTACTGGGGTGTCCAAGTCCCTCCTAAATTTGGGGCTTGACCAAGAAAACATAAGATGCTCGTACATAAGAAAAGTCCATGTTGCTGACCCACAGTGGCCAAATGTTGGTTTTGGAGGACTGCTGTTTACAAAGACAGATTCCCAGAAGTGCTGGGGCAAATTGCAGTGAGCCTAGTGTAGAGCTGCTTTTGTTTATTTTAATTTGGGGGGGGGTTGTAGATTGATTCAATACCTTTATTTTTTTTTAATGTGGTGCTGAGGATCGAACCCAGTGCCTCACACATGCTAGGCAAGCACTCTAGCACTGAGCCACAATCCCAGTCCCTAGAACTGCTTTTATGAGACCCCAAATTCTCTGAGGGAACCCCCCCATCACCCTATCCCCCTGACATTTTTCCTTCAGTATGGGGGTCTTTACTACTGAGTTACATCCCCAGGTCTTTTTATTTTTTATTCTGGGACAGGGTCTTGCTAAGTCACCCAGTGAGGTCTCAAAACTTGCTGTCCTCCTGCCTCAGCCTTGCTAGTCACTAGATTACAGACATGTGCTCCTGGGCCTAATCCTCCTGACATCTTCACCATCGTGTACCTCTTGGGCATCATAGCTCACTGGTTCCACTTTGGGAATGGGGAGGAGAATTGAGCCTGGAAGTGGCCCAGATGCCTATGATCAATGGATCCCATGGGTGAGCAGAGCCCAAACTGGCTCCTGGCTTGTCCTGCAGCGCCCCCTCACGGAGGAAGGTAGCAGCATCTCCTAGGACCTGAAATTTGATTCCCAAATTTTGGAAAGCTCCCAACACTTCTTAGGTCAAAGTAAAGTTTTTACAAGCTCAGTGAAAATTCATCTTGTCCCCTCTGAATCAACAATCAGAAGATAACTTACAAAATAAGTTATCTAAGATAACAGTCACCAGCCTCCAAACAAATCTAAGCCTCACATTCACTAAGACCTGGCAGCTACTTCCTCACCTTCCTGTCCTGTCTCTTTTCCATTCTTTTCTTCACACTGCTGCCCATTTGACCTCTCCATAATGTCAGGCCAAGGACCCTGTTTGTCTGTACTCCTCTTTGTCACCCCCCAATTTGGCCAGTTTGGGCCCCTGATGTTCATGTGCTGTTTCAGCCACACTGAGCAGCCCTCCTGCATAGAGCTGACATCTTCCACACCAGCACAGTTTCATTCCTGACTTTTCCTTGGCCTGGAAAGCACTAGCTCTCTTCTTCAGGAGTAACTGGAGGGCCACCTGATTACTACTTCTCCCCTGATTACTACTTCCCTAGGCAACAGTGGCCACCCCATTAACTGTGGTCCCTCATTTCCCCTTGAATCATGCTACCTCAGCATTTCCCCCTTAGAGTGAGCTTCTAGGAGCAGCAGTAACTTCTCCCTTCCTGTGGCTCCCATTACCCCTGCTTAGAACAGTTCTTTTCTCATCATCATTCCCTCCTTCACCTGTGGGGAAATGAGCAGAGCTTCTTTCTCAATGCTGGTCTTGACCATACCACCAGCCCCAAAGACCACCGAGAGAGTAGATGCTTGGCCTTCTTAGATCAGGCCTTAACCAGAGAGCCAAGTCCACAGATTTTGTAGAACTCAGAGGAAGGCAGATAGCCTCACAGGCTCCAGCAGGTGGTCTTACTTCCTTTTTTAAAAAATTTGTTGATGGATCTTTATTTTACTTATTTGTATGTGGTGCTAAGAATTGAACCCAGGGCCTCACACATGCTAGGCAAGCACTATTCCACAGAGCTACAACTCCAGCCCATGTGGACTTACTTTCAACATGTACAAGAACACTTCCCTGGGGCTGGGGATGTGGCTCAAGCGGTAGCACGCTAGCCTGGTTCGATCCTCAGCACCACATACAAAGATGTTGTGTCCGCCAATAACTAAAATAAATAAATAAATATTTAAAAATTCTTAAAAAAAAAAAAAAAAAGAACACTTCCCTGCAGGCCTCTGCTTCCTCAGCCATAAAGTGAGGTCAACCTCAATTATCTAGCTCTGAAATACCCTGAAGAATCTGAGTTCATCTCTATGGATGAGATTCAGTCTGTGTGGGCCCTATGGACAGTATCACCTTGGGGTGGGCAAAATACAACCCATGGAAATCTAAAGATGAAAAGAGAAAGAAGTGTCCAGACCTCATGGCTTGCTTATGACCTTGCAATGGAACAATTGAGTATCCAAGTGACCCTCCCAAAGGAGGGAACAGCCAGGAATAATGCCAAGAAAAAGGGCCATGCCCATTTTCATCCTGCCTGGGCCTGCCCACTCAGCCTCCTCTGATAACCATGCTGACTATTATTCCAGGGTCCCAGCACATTGTTGTGTAATTCAGATAGCTTAATTCATTCAGATTCTGACCTATCCTCTCCACAGCCTCCTCCAACCCCTCAATGGTCTCCCCATCTTTGGTACCTTCTATGGGGGTTGTCTGATAGGTGGATATGATTCATTGATGTGTGTCTTTGGGGAATTCCCAGTTCAGTTGCAAAGACAGTTATATTCCACAGTTTCAATAGTATACAATGCAAAGCAACATTGCCTGCTGCCTGGCTCAGCAGAAAGAGGGTACCCAAATTGTCAAGGATCATGTGTGCACTAGCCAGACGGATGGGTTAGGGAATAAAGACTTCTTAGCAGGAAAACCCCATGTGCAGAGAGTGAAAGTAAGAAAAGGTGTGGCTGACCAGGGAGTTAGAGACACTGGGAAGTTTCAAGGCAGCTGGGGCAAGAGGAGAAAGGTGCTAGAGGGACAGTGACACCATCAAGATGCAGAAGTGTGAGGCAGGGTCACTGCATAGATCCAGCTGTGGTAATGGTGGAAAATATTTCAAAGCTGCCACTTAGGGCAGGTAAATGAACCTTTCCACCCAGGAATACCATGTGTTGGTCCCCTTGAGGTCAGGCTAAACACAGGCCCTTCCCTGAGAGATAGCAGGGCCAAATGCCTGCTTCTCATGACCTTTTTTTGTGGGGAGGGGATACTGGGGATTAAATCCGGGGTACTTTACCATTAAGCCACATCCTCAGTCCTTTTTATTTTTTGAGACAAGGTCTCACTAAGTTCCTCAGAGCCTCACAAAGTTGCTGTGAATGGCTTTGAACTTGCAATCCTGCCTCAGCCTCCCACGCCTCTGGGACCACCAATGTGTGCCACCATGCCCATCTGCATGACCTTTTCTCGGCCTCAGGTTCCTTCCCCATTCCCTCTTCATTCCCCACCATTAGCCTACCTGACCCTGATTCACCTGGGGAGACTTAAATACACAGAACTGGGCCCTTTGCCTGCCCAAACCCACTTCTTATTCAGGCCTAGGATGGTACCCAGGAATCTCATTTGTCAGATGACATGGCCCCTGGTAATCCAGATGACTGGCCCAACTTCAAACTCTGCACAGGTGAGTCCTTCACCCTTCTTCACAGCCTCTTTCTTTCCCCAGTTCAAGCATCATATTTGGGGAATTGGTCTTAGAAAAGGAAAAATGTTTATTTTCCAAGTTCTCAAATGGGAACAGGGGCCAAATTCCCCCCTCCATCTAGCCCTCAGGCTACAGCCCTGGGTCAGGCCTGGAGAATGGGAACACCCAGTGGGTGAAGTCACTTGTACTGAGGGGAGAGTGGGGGCACAAGGGGAGCAGTGCAGACACTCAGCATCTTGTCGATATCCACCTGGGTTGACTTATCCACCTCTGCCTTGAGGTGGCGACTCATCCCCAAGCTGGGCAAAACCCCAAGCTCCACTCCAGCCTCCTCTCCCAGGGGAGCCAAGGCATGAGTGGGGGGAACTAACACATTGGAATAGGGCAAAGGGAGACCTAAGCCCAGCTCACCTGCCACAGGGAGCAAGGCCTGCAGCTGCTCCACACCTGCCTCCTCAGGAACCAGGGCCAACTCTGACTCAGGCTCTACCTCAGCCTCCCTGTCTTCCTCCCCTGCCTGGTTCAGCTCAGGGTTGCAATAGTTGATATACTGGTACAATGGCCGGAGGCGCTGAGCTTTTCCTGCAAGGACCCGGGGCAGGACAGGGGCTGGAGCGCCAGGCTGTGCAATGTCAGCTCCAGCAAGCAGGGAAAGAAGGGAAAGCCCAAGGACTGCCACTCACGCTCCAGCCCCAGGGTCTCTGGGGGTGCAGACACAGTGCTGGCTATAGCTGGAAGCATGGGAGCCCCCAGACTTTTGCGTTTCTTGGCTTTTTTGTGCTGTTTGGCAGATGGTGAGGGTTCATTCTGACAGCCCTCCAGCTCCTCTCTCTGCAGCAGCATCCCTGGTGGCAGCTCAGCTTCAGTCCTAGGATGGGCATGGTAGCTAGGTCCTGGGAGGCTGGGAGACTAAAGTTGGGAACAAGAGGCCTGAGAGGCAGCCTTCAGCCTCTGGCTCCTTTGCCTTGAGCCTAGGGACTAGCCCCGCCTATCCCACCAATCCAGGACTATAAAGCTATCCCTTTCTTGGTCAATGAAATCCCAGGCCCAATAGGGTCCCAGCACTTATGTGACCTCATTCCCCTTCAAGACATGGAGGTTCCATCTCTCTTGGTGCTGGTGCTCCCTATGCCAGAGCTCTTGAGGAACAGAATAGGCAGAGTGATGATAGTGGCAGGGGACAAGGATCTGCCCCACAGCCGTACAGGATTTAGGAATTCTCCAGGGGTAAGTTTGAGGCTCAACCCCATCCCTGCAGTTCCTTCCCTCTGAAAAACCTCCTCACTTGATAGGTTTCCTCTTCAGTCCATGACTGGGCCCCACGATGGAGGCCCCAAGCCTGGGGCCTCTCTCGTCTCCTGCCTCTGCCTCAAGCACTTCTTCCTCCAGCTTGATCCCCTCCTCCTGGAGCTCTGGCTCTCTGCAGTGTCCTGTTGGACACACGTCTTCACCCTGGGTACTGCAGGCCTCATAAGCTGGCACTGGGCACTGGTTTCCCATCACTGAGCACTAGAGGCAACACATAGGTAATTAGTTGCCATGGCCAAACAAAAGATGTAGGAATCAGCCATTCGATGCCCAACATCAGCCCCCAAACACCAGAGAAAGGGCACCAGCCCGGGCCCCTCCGCTGTAAGGCCTGAACTGGCAGTTAGGGGGTCAGATCACTCAAAGTTCCGCCCTCAGAGCACCGTGGCCAAATGTTTGAAGGCTGATGGCCAGATCATCAGGACCATCACCTCAGGGCTCTGAGCATGATTAACTGGTGCCTCCACAACCTGGACCAGCCCTGCGATTGTCCCCTCTGGGGCCCCTGGCTTCCTCTCGGCCCCTGAGGCCATGGCTTCGATGGGTCAGAGCATTCTCGACGGTTGCTGCGGTAGGAGAGCGGGCGCCCAGGGGCTGGACTGGTGGACCCTGTGTTGACTGAGGAACCCGCCAGGCGGCTAGAGCCTAGCCTAGCTCCCAATGGGACTGAAGGCTGTTCGGCCCATTCGGCTGGAACTACAAGCCCCAGAAGGCTTATCGCCAGATCATTGACCCCTGACCTCAGAGATGGAAAGCTATTTGTTGCCTGGCAACAGCAACTCCCGTCAGGTTGCAGAAGCTGGCGGCAAAACTGATCAAGTGAGTCCCCGCGGGGGGCGTGCGGAGAGGGACAGCGAACCCGCAAAGAAGTGGGCTAAAATCGGGGTCGCAAAGGCAGCAAGGGTAGGCCGGGCCAGGACCGCGGAGGGAGCTGGGGGAGTGATTGGAAGTGGAAAGCACGGCCTGGCTGCAGGGTCTGGGTTGAAGGAGGAAGCACCGGGGTAGGGAAAGGGGTTCCGGCGGGAGATGCGCAGCGTGGCAGGCCTCGGTGCACCGTTGCAGGGCGTCGACCGCAGCATGTGCGAAGGCCCGTCCCGCATTTCGGGGCCCATTCCCCCAGATCCTACGCTCTGCCCTGACTACTACCGGCGACCCGCCTCGGGTGAGTTGGAGCGTGCAGAGCGTGCCGCGGTGGGGCGAATTCCCCACCCCATAACTGAGCCCCGCACTCCACCCGGTCCCATCTCCTAGCCCAAGGACGCCTCGAGGAAACCGCTTTGAAGCTGGACCTGCTGACATCGGAACCTGATTTGGACGCTGCCCCTCCCCGTGGCCCCCGCATCAGGCCCGGAGCCCGAGAAATCCTGGAGCGTAGCCAACGAGGCATGGGGGATGTGCTGCTGCAACTGGGAGACATCTCCCTCTGTCCAGGAGCTTCTCCCAAGAGTAAGTCCCAGCCAGAAAGAGCAGCAGTTGGAGATCAAAAGTGGAGATCTAAAGGAGCTGCTCCTTCTTCCCTGATCTGGACGCTGGCTTTGCCCCTGTAGATCTGTTTCCCCAATATAAAAGGAGTAGGAAATGAACTACCTCCTCGCAGGAGTGGACTGAATGAGATAGTCCCAGGAAGTCCTAGCTTCATGCATTCATGCATCAATGAAACACTTTGAAACAGGATTCATATAGATACTAGGAAAACAAAATCAAGGACAAGTGTGGGTCATCATAAAGTTAAGGTGGGAGGCAATAAACAAGAGATGAGTGTAATATGTGAGATGATTAATGGTATACTTCACTATAAAAATGTAAAAAACTGGGGTGGGGATGTAGCTCAGTAGTAGAGTGTTTGCCTAGCATGTACAAGACCTCAGGTTTGATGTCACAAAACAATAACAAGTTAAAAATGTAAAAAATAACAAAGAGATATGTACTATGTTAGGAAGGAAAGGCATAAGTTGATGCTATGGAATATGTGTGTGGGGTCTAACCCAGACAGGAGAGCCAGGGATATCTTTGTGCAGGAGGCAGGGTATGGGCCTATACTAAGATCTAGTTTAAGTTGGGTTGCATGGGCTATACATGGAGCAGAGCATGGCAGCATATTTTCTCCAGGGAAGGACCCTAAAGACCATGAGAAGGAAAATCTGAGGCGGATCAGAGAGATACAGAAGCRCTTCCGAGAGCAAGAGCACAGCCGGGAGCAGGGCCAGCTCAGGCCCCTGAAGGCACTGTGGCGGTCACCCAAGTATGACAAGGTGGAGTCCCGACTCAAGGCCCAGCTGCAGGTATCTGTTTTAGGGAGCCAGAAATATTGTCTTTGTTGGCCAGCAGGCAAAATTATACCGTGATCTGAGTTATGGGAAGGGAAGAAATCACAGAGAATTAAGATAACAAAGTATTAAGGGACAGCTGGTACTGCTGCAGGCATATCTGGGGTCTCTGCAGAAGTGGTAATGGCTGGGCTAATCATGAGGGTCCAGTAGGAATTAGGCAAGGGAAGTGTGGGAGAGGACATTCCATGGAAAGAGAACTTTACAGGTAGATGTTCTGAGACTAGAGGGTGAGCAGTGGGGATCCTGGGTACAGTTCACTGTGAGGGGCAAAAGTATGAGTTTAAGCCAAGAAGTCAGCTGAACCCACATCTGAAAGGACCACCTAAGCTACTTTCCAATGTTTTTGTGTGTGTGCGAATGTGTGCCATGTGGTTGTGTTGAGAATCAAACCCAGGGTCTCATTCATGCTAAGCATGTATTTTACCACTAAGCTATACCCCCTGGTCTTTCAACATTTATCTGAGGATAGGAGGGAGGGCAGGGGCTGGGACTGGGGTATGGTGGCCCCTGTATTGGGTAGGCACCATTCCTCTAAGAAGGAGGAGAACTGAGAGAAAAGACAAGGTCACATAAGGATATACTGAAGCTCAGGCATCTGTGGGACTCCCAGGGGGTGGGAGTGTGTCCAGGAAGCAGATGGATGCTCAGGTCTGGATCTCAGGCATGAGATCCAGGAGTTATTGATGAGCAGGTTGAGAACAATGAGACCAAGGAAGTGGCCCCCTGGATTTGAGGGCTTGGAAGCCAGCCCTCAATGACCTTGGGGGGCTGAAGCTTGGCTAGGAGGGAGAAAAAAGTGCTAGCTGAACTGAGAGGGAGAAAAAAAGTGCTAGCTGAACCGAATTAGAATGAAATATAGTTTGTTTCCTTAAATGTAGAAGAGACCCCCATGTTTAAATGCTAATAAGAAGTGGTCCTTTAAGAAAGAAAAGGCTCTGGGCTAGGAATGTGGCTCAAGTGGTAGCCCGCTCGCCTGATATGCATGCAGCCTGGTTTCGATCCTCAGCATCACATACAAATAAAGATGTTGTGTCCACCGAGAACTAAAAATAAATATTAAAAAAATTCTCTCTCTCTCTCTCTCAAAAAAAAAAAAAAAAAAAGAAGAAGAGGCCCTATAGGGATGGGGAGAGAAAAATCCTGAAAGGCCAGAAGGCTAGAGGCATGCCCTTGTGGTTTGAGATCCTGATATCAGCCTAACTGATTCCTCTGCTATGTCCTGCCCTGCAGGAGCCTGACCCCGCCTCTGCAACAGAGCATGCCCACTTCCTGCGGGCACACTCCCGCTGTGGCCCTGGGCTCCCACCACCCCGTGTCCCCAGTCTCCAGCTAACCCCACCAGGAMCCAAAGCTAAGGTGAGAGGATATGTGGGAGCTAGGAGGTGGTTGGGCAGGAATCCTGTGGGTGGGGATACAAAAGTACAACACAATGCTATTAACCCCCACCATTCTTGCCATGTCCTACAGGGATCAGGCCTGAGTGTGGATTTCATTAGTCACAATGCCCAAGCTGCCAAGAGGGCCCCCCGGCGCCATTCCCGCTCACTGCAGGCCCTGGCACAGGTGCTGGAGCAGCAACGTCAAGCCCAGGAGCACTACAACGCAACACAGAAGGGCCATGTGCCTCGTTAGTAGGTCTCAGTGTCCAACACCCTGGGTGAGGGGCATCTATGGAGGGTGGGAGTCAATTGTCTTGGTTTCCTCAACCCTAGGCCTGTGTATTTACAGCTTGTTGGAGCGCAGGGATATGTGGCGGCGGGAGGCTGAAGCCCGCCAGCATAGCCAGCCAGACCCTGACATGCCCCCTGGTCATACCTGCATGCCTGAGAACCAGCGGCTGGAAACACTGAATAGTCTGCTCCAGAGTGAGTACTTGGGCAAGCGGGGCAGGATGGGGAGCCCACTGGGAACCATGCATCTCTGCCCAGTACTCACTGTTCCTGGGCCCCTGTAGGCCAGAGCCAGCTGCTGCGTGAGCTAGTACTGCTACCTGCCGGGGCAGACTCGCTGAGAGCCCAAGGCCACCGTGTTGAGCTGGACCGGAAGCTGGTGCAGGTAGAAGAGGCCATCAAGATCTTTTCCCGGCCCAAAGTCTTCGTGAAGATGGATGCCTGAGCCCCTTTGTTGGAGCAGTGGCAGGAAGATCCACACTGAGGATTGCCACATGGCTGCAAGAGGCAACAGGCCCGGTTATACAGCAGAGGTCCAAAAAGAGGAGCTTTCTGGGCAGGCAATATACCCAGAGTATTCTTCCCAGCTATCTGTGGTTGTAGAAGGGCCATCCCAGCCTTTAAACCCTTTTGACAAAATTAAACCTTTTGTACACAGTGGGGTTTGTTTCCATAAGAGTTTTGTTTGGAGGGAGGACTGGGGATTGAACCCAAGGTGCTAGGCAAGTGCTCTATCACTGAACTATATCAACATCCCTTTTTATTTTATTTTGAGAGAGCATCTCACTAAGTTGCCCAATCTGGCCTTCAACTTGCCATCCTCCTGCCTCATCCTCCTGAGTCACTGGAATTATAGGCATGTCCAATAATGTTTGGTCCATAGAAGCTTTCCTTACTTCAGAAATGCAAAGCCCCATGACCTTCCTTCTGCCTAACCATAGGAAGGTCTTTCCACTGCCCCTATCATTCCTGTTTCATATCCAGAGTAGAAGGTAGGCTTATGGGATTGGAGAGGAGGCTGGGACTGGGACACAGAAGGACCATGTCTGTGTTTGTAGAAAACTTTTAATGTTCCTCAGGCTGAGAGGGCCCAATGGAACAAGCAAGCTAACCCCCGCCCCAACCAGGATGTCCCTACCATGTCCCAGCAGCCTAGAATAGAAAAGGGCTGCATCCTTGCCTGTCAGAGGCTGAAGCCGCTACCATCTCCTCGTATGCTACTCCCCCAGCCAGAGCTGGCCTGTTCCTGGCCATCCAGGGAGGGCAGAGAGTTTCGGACACCAGGAAGTAGGCAGCCGGGGTGCAGGTCCCAGCATGGTGGCTGAGACAGCCCATTGGAACAAAGAGGCGGTCGGTTCTCAATGACCAGGTCACTGCTGTCATCATCACTGTCGGGCTCAGCAGGCCCAGGCCCTGCAGAGGGAGGCCGTGTTAGCCTCCCAGATGCCCCTCGCACCACATTATTGCGCTGGTTGGCCGGCTTGACAGTGACAATGAGGTTATGGCTGTTGGCAACCATCATGTCCGTCACTTGGTCCAAGGTCTTCCCAGCCACCTCAATACCATTGACCTCAAGGATCTCATCACTAACTGCCAGCAGCCCTGTACTCTCAGCCAGGCCCCCACGTACCAGGCGGGAGATGAATATGCCTGGAACCCGCTCCAGGCCTTGGGGAGCCACACGCACACTCATGCCATCTCGAATGTAAAAGCCCAGAGGGCGGTCTGAACCATGCTTGTGCAGTCGAACCCGTCGGTGGGTCTCAGGCAGTAGGTCCACATCTATGACTGAGGAAACCTGGCGGAAATCTTGGGGCAGGCTGATTAGCAGGGGTGGCCGGGTGCGCAGGGGTGCCACTGGTCGCAGTAGAAGCCCTTTCCTGCGCCGCTGCAGAGAGTTGGAGGCAAATGCCAGGCCGCTGGAGTCAGCTTCTGCTGCAGGAGAGGGGGTGCTGAGATCAGAGATGCTGCTCTCCTACTTGGGCCCTTTACAGGGAGCAATGTAGCTATTTCCTACCACTTGGAGGTCAGGCCAAGGGCAAGGACTGCAGAAGGTGAAGACTGAGTGCTCTGGGTATGGACTAACCCTTGTAGACCTGCCTGGTCACCCTACCCCACCAAGGCTGCCCACTGTACCCCATTCTCCTCACCCCGCTTCTGCACCAGTAGGCGCAGCGGCGGGGGCCCGCTGGCCAGGGCCCGGTGCAGGCTGTCGTCGTTGGTGAGGGGCAGTAGGTCGCCGTGAGCATCCGTATAGCCAAGCAGCACGTCCAGGCCTGGGATCTGGTGCACTGCACGCAGCAACCGAGAAAACTCCTGGAAGCCGCTCACGGAAGCGCGGGGCAGCGCAAAGCGTCGGAACTCAGCGTCGAACTGGAGGCGGGTGGTGGCGGGGGAGAGAAGACTGGTTAGGACAGGTCTCTTTTTCACACAGATCTAAGTCTGGCAGAAGTAGGGGTAAAAAAGGGCTGCTGCAAAAGCTACAGCATTGAGCCCACACCTCAGTTCCAGTATAAGGGACGCTGTCCAAGGTCTTGTCCCCGCCCTCCACGTACCAAAACCAGAGAGGGACTCTGGAGGCTGGCAGTGGAAGGAAGGAGGATGGATAAGGAAAAACAAGCAGAAAAAAAGAATGGGACGTGGAGGATGAAGGACAGAAGTGATGGGACCAAGGAGCAGGAAAGGGGAGAAGGAGAGAATTGGGAGTGCCTAGGGCCGGGGCCGGAGCCGGGGCCGAAGGCGCCCTTACTTTGCTCTTCACCTCGACGATGCTGTCAGGACTGCGCGCCGGAGTCCTCTGCGGCCTGGCCATTGCGGGACCGGGCGGACCAGGGACAGTGCCCCAGGCAGCCCGCGGAGGCGCAGGTGCACAGCCCGGCTGGCCCGCCCGCGCCGCCCCGCCCTCCCATCCGGACCATGACGTCAAGGGGGCAGCGACACAGAGGAACGCGGAGTCCACGTCTCCTAGGAAACAGAGATGTGGGTGGAGAACATTCTTCCTCTGCTCCTACGTCATTACGCTAGGGTTCGCACGTCCGGAAGAGTCTGAGGGGACGGACTTGGCCAATCCGAGAGGATAAAGAGGGAAGTGACATTTATTGAGCGCTGTGTACTTTTATTTCCACTGGACTTACAAGACTAAGCATTTTGTATATGAGGAAACTGAGTCATAATAAACTTCTGCTAAGCCCCTCCGGGTCACACGGCTAAGTGGCTTCGAGCCAACTCACTCAAGCCACCACCCTCAGATCTCAGCAGCTTCAGGCCCAGATCACTCTGCCTGCGAGCCAGCCTTTGGCCCCTTCCTTCCCGGTGTCGTAAGGAACGGCCCAAGGCCAGATTGTTCCTCAGAGAGATGTTCCGATAAGAATATCTGGACCAGGATGCAGCCCATGCAGCAGAGAGCTGCACACAATTTTCCAAACAAGATGCTCTACTACTCACGCGCGGCGCGCACGTGGGCGGGGCCTCGGTTTTAGGACCCGCCCAACCTCTTCCTCTTCCGATGAGAGGCGGGGCTACGGTGTCCGCGGGAAACACCGGTCAGCCGCCTTCTACTAGGTTCTGCTGCAGGAATGGCGGGCTTGGGGAACCTGGTCCTGCGGCCCTGGATTCGAGAGCTGATCCTGGGGTCAGAAACACTTTCAAGTCCACGAGCCGGACAGCTGCTCAAGGTGAGCCCCTAGTCAAGGCCCAGAGCCCGGGTGGGAACCGAGGTAGTGGTATTGACGCGGGTCGCTGCCGTCAGGTATTGCAGGACGCAGAGACCCCAGGCCCATCCCACGCGCCTGTTGCCCCTGACGCCGGGGCTATGCTGCTTGTGTCGGACGGGACCCACAGTGTCCGGTGCCTGGTGACGCGCGAGGCCCTGGACACCTCGGACTGGTGAGAGAGACACCGCCGGGCTCAGGGAGGTCTGAGCCCAACCCGAGAGCAAGATACCCGAGGTGGGTGGGCTCTCCAGCGGAGAAGGCGAGTCCCAGGCGGATGGGGCTTGTATTCCTAAGGGCTGGTCTTTGAGGGTCGCGCTCGCCCCAGGGAGGAAAAAGAGTTCGGATTCTGTGGAGCTGAGGGTCGGCTACTGCTACTGCAGGTCTGCGGGGTCCGCATCCAGGTCGCCGAGGGCTGCACGGTGAGTGGCAAGGGCAGGATGGGAGGATAACTGAGCCTGGCTTCTCATAACAACTTCTGAGCCTGAGACTTTTACCCCCAACTCACTTCCTTCAGCCTGCAGAGTTCTACCTCCAAGTGGACCGGTTCAGCCTGCTGCCCACTGAGCAGCCTCGGGTACTGGTTACTGGTTGGTAAGTGATGCCTCCAAGGGCTGGTGGTGTAGCTTAGTAACACAGTGCTTACAATGTGTAAGATCCTGACAATCCCAGCACTCAAAGAAAAAAAATACCTCCACCACATGCATAGGCTTTTGGTCGAGAGGGCTTGGGCCCCAAGTGACACTAACTACTTATTATCCTCTTTCCCTCAGCAACCAGGACTTGGATGTGCAGAAAAAGCTGTATGACTGCCTTGAGTGAGTCTGGGGTTGTGCTCTGGGGCCAAGTGTGGCTGGGTCAGGGGATGGCAGATCTGGAACCTGAGGCCTGTCTACTGTCTTTTTATAGGGACCACCTTTCAGAGTCCACSTCTTCCAATGCAGGTACTAGTAGGGATTGCCCAGTGACCCTAAGTAATTCCCTATGGAGTTTCCTTTCTGTCATCACTGTGCATTTTCAGGAAGTACCCCTACCACCTTATATTTCCTCCCCTTTGATTATTTGGTCTCCTGTCCCCAGGCCTAACACTGTCCCAGCTTTTGGATGAAGTGCAGGAGGACCAGCAGCATCGGGGGGCACTAGTACATCTAGCTGAGAGCTGCCTAGTGCTGGCAGGCCCTTGCACAGCACCCCCGCTCACCCACTGGGCTGCCTCACGCTGCAGGGCCATGGTTAGTGTCAGGCTTCCCCTGGGAGATGTCAGGGTAAGGAATTGGGCAAAGGCCAGGCTAAGAGTTCACATCCCACAGGGAGAAGCTGTATACTCTGTCCCCAGCTTATTGCTGCACATTCCTGAAAATGACCAGCAAATTCTAAGCTCTCTGGGCTCAAGTCAGAAGGTACAAGGTAAGGAGAACTAGAGAGGTCAAAAGAAGAATCTCTAGAACCCAGGGCCCACAGTGCTGATGCACATCCCAAGAACTCCCAGACTGGTTGTGAGTTGTCCCTATCAAAACTGGCTCTGCAGGACCCATCTTTGAACCTGATCTCTAATTCTTCCTCATCCAGTTCCTTAGGGGAGATGGTGCTCAGGCCACAAGCACTCACTGCTGTCAGTAAGGTTCCCAGACTGCACAGGATGCTGTAAAAGTTTGCAGCAGTGATGGGGTGACCACAGACCCTGCAGGCCTGGCTGAGCTCTTGGGCCACTCAGCTGGTCTGAGAGGACTGTACCCATAGTGAGTCTCTTCCTTCCCAGGAACTCCTGCCTTAACCTGTCACATGCCATTGGAGGAAAGCAGTGCCAGCATCAGCCTTCTGCCTGCCCTGCCTTTGGCTGCCCCGGACCTGGTACAGAAGCACATCTCCCAGTCCCTACCTGCCATCTGCTCAGCCTCTGGATCCCCGCCCTTCAGTTCCCCACACCCCAGTCATACATCCAACTCCCCACTCCTGAGCTGCATTCCCAGTCTCTCGCCCCTCGACCATAACCCCAGTCCATACCAGGCCCATGTGACCAGGGCCCAGAAACTTAGCCTGGAGTTCAGAGAGCTAGGGTTGCCCCACAAGAACCAGCGGTCTTTTCCAAGGACTGGAGCCAAGGGAGTCCAGGAGCCCTGCCCTGTCTGGGTGAGTATTGCCCCTCTGTAATTGAAGAATAGAATGGGGAGGGCCCTGAATAGAGCTGGGAGTTGGGTAAGCGTAGCTTTGGAAGGAATTAGGGGTCCTGTTGATCCCCCCAAACACCACACCCCTTTCAGGACCCCCCAAAGAGGCATCGTGATGGTTCCACCTTCCAATATGAGTATGAACTACCCTGTGCCTCCCTCTGTGCTCAGGTCCACGCTGTCAGGTGAGTGCCTGGGGCTGCCCTTACTCTATTATTTTATTTATTTATCCCAGATTTTTTTTCACATTTACTTACTCTGTTGTTGAGTTTTTTTGTGTATTGCAGTGCTAGGGATGAGAACCCAGGGACTCACACTTGCTAGGCAGATGGTCTACTCCTAGGCTATATCCGTAGACCTGCCCCTACTCTGATGGTCACCAGTTCCAGGCAACCTTGACCTGTAGCCATGGTTTCTTCCCAGGCTCCCTCCCCAACTTGTGGCATGGGTCTTGTACTTTTTGATGGAGCCACAGCCAGAGTCTGAGCTAACTCAAGTGTGAGGAGTCATGCAGGCACATCAGAGGATATGCATGTACAGGTCTGTGTCTAGGTGTGGACAAACTTATGTAGTCTGCTTCCTTCAAGTTTTTTAATAAAATAATCTCATGCGGCAAGAGAAGAGAGGATCAGGGGTTGGGGCCGCCGCCTCTTTGGTCTGTGGCTGGGGAGGGTGGGCTCCTCTTGGGGCTAGAGGGCTCTGTGGGCTGTGGGAGCAGAGGCTCGGGTCCAAGGCCAGATCCTGCAAGGGGTGAGTGGAAGAAAGAAAGGATCAGGGCTGAGCTAAGTAGTTCTGCCACCCTCCCAACTGACCCTGGCCCCCTCTTACCTAGGCTTGGGGATGGGGGTGCCTCGAGCTTTGGCCTGCGCTTGAGGACAGGGGAGCGCTGAAGCCTCAGAGGCCGTTCTAAGGAGCACAGAAAGGTTAGCTCTTTGTGCATCCCCAGCCATTTTTCCCATCTGCAGTCATGCAAGAATGCACATACACTCTAATAAGAAAACTACTGTCTTCACAGCTTCCCAGTTCCCTGTGTCGTCCTACCCCTTGTAGAGGTTGTTCTTTGGGAGGCAGAGCCAGGATGTAGGAGGGCTTGTCAAACCCTTGCACCTGGCCTTTGGCTCTTGGATTTCTCCAAGGGCCAGACCACAGAAAACCCAGGAGCCCAGCCTCCCCAATTTCCTGCACTCAAGCACACATGGAGGTGTGTCCCTCACCAGCAGGGGCCTGGAGCTGGTCCTCATGCACAGACACTGCTCGTCGCCCTGCCGAGAGAGGCCGCGGCCTCAGCTGGCCATCTGGGGGAGGCCAGGGTATCAGGATATGCTCCCAATAGTTACTCCCATTCCAGCCCTTGCCTCCCATCTTCAGGGTCTCCACGGGAGACAAGTTTCCAGCCAGGACTCCCTAGGCCCCAGCCCAGGGTTGGAGATGGTTTGCCTGCCTACCTTCATTCCTGGGGCCCAAGCAAGAGTCCTCTGGGAGGCCCAAGCTGTCTGGGGAGGGGCTGGCTCTGCAGGGGCTTGGGCTGGGACAAGGGGAGGGAGGTCCTGGACCATCCTGTTGGCCCCAACCTCGTCCTCTGAGCTCTGCATTCAACTGCTGTCCCAGTGTCTTCCAGGTGGCAGACTCAGGCCCCTGGTCCCCTGGGCCAGGTCTGCATGAGGGGTCTGCAGGGAAAAGGTTGTCAGCCAAGACCTGGTCCAGGCCCTGGAGATGGGTCTGAGCAATGGTCTTACCCCCTCTCTTGCCTGTCCCTGCACCTCCCATAACTCAGAGTGGCCTTTACTCACCAGCAGAGACAGAGTGGGTGCGTGACTTCATCGAGATGGGAGGGGTCTCCGTGGAACTGTCCATAATGTCACCTGCAAGTTGGGGCTGGGGGCTCAGACACCAGGCATTAGGGGCAAGGGAAAGAAAAAACTCTAGTCCCTCCCCCTCCCCCAGAAGAGTAACTGAGGTAACAACTATCTTTTCTTTTTTGGTACTGGGGATTGAACCCAGGGATGCTTAACCACTGAGCCACATCCCCAGGCCTTTGTATTTATTTTATTTTGAGAAAGGGCCTCACTAAATTGCTGAGGCTGGCTTTGAATTTTCAATCTTCCTGCTTCAGCCTCCCAAGCCACTGGGATTATAGGCATGTGCCAATGTGCCCAGTAAGGTGGGGACTATCTCTAAGGATACCTCCCTGCCCCTAATATACTACCTTACCCAGATTCCCACTTACCATCTGAGCCAGCTTTCTTGATCTCACCATCTTTGCTCTGTAGGAAACAAGACAGTCAAACCCCAGCCCTGCCCCTCTCACCCTAGCCTTGTCCATTTATTCATTCTTATTCTTATCACCCAGCCACAGAACATGGCAAACCCACCCCCAGCCCCCTGAGAGCTCACAGTCTGGGATGACAGGTAGTTGGCACATCAAAATATGCATGCATATTTGTAGATACATAATGTTATTTCTTAATTCTGTGGTACTTGTCACACTTTATTTCTAAATGGAGGCTGGGTCTCACTTTATACCATGTTCTTCCTGAAAAGCTATTAAGTAGATGGTACATAGTGTGTGCACGTGGGGGTGGGGGGTGGGGTTCAAACCCAGAATTTTACACATATTAGACAAGTGTTCTACCACTGAGTTATATCCTCTAGCCTTTTATACTTTTGAGACAGGGTCTTACTAAATTGCTCAGGTTGGCCTTAAACTTGGAGTCCTCTTGCCTTAGCCTCCCCAAATAGCTGAGATTATAGGCATGGGCTACTACACCCAGCAGGATGGACTGTGGTTCTTAATAGGGACTATGATTAAAAAATGACATTAGCAAGGCAGCCAAGGAAGGAACTACAGGAATGGCTGAGGAGGAACCTGGTGTAACCCATGATGAGACTGCATGTGAAGCAGGGAGGAGTCATGCTGTGGAACACCTGAGGAGGCCTATGGTGGAGAAGATCCTATAGGACCATGTAGCAGGATTAGGAGTTTGGACAAGGTCTTGAGGGGAAGTCCAGTGGCTGTTTCAAGTATAGGTAACAGGGTCTGATTTCTGTTAGATCTGCAGAGGAAGTACTTTCTTAGGTCCTAGAAAAGATCAGTATCCTGTGCCAGGTCAGAAGCCAGAAGGGAATAAAGTTAAGTCTGAGACTATTTTGAGAGGGAAGGGAGTTGAACTGATAATTAAATTTGTGTGTGTCATAAGTCTCCTCCCCCTTGGTCACATATGTCACCCACAGATTGCCACATGTCTTCTGCCCCCTCACTTCACACTCATGACCTCCCCAACTCACTTGCTTCCTCTTGCCTTCGGCAACCCCACTGCCTCGGCTTACGCCGATCCTCTGCAGCATCACTTGTACCCGCTGTTCAAAGGATGGGGCCAATTCTGTGTCTCCCCGCTCCAAAGGCCGCCGCTGGGACAGAGATAAGTAAGGAGAGAACCCACTGCCCTTAGTTCCAGAAGAGTCCTTGTCCCTGTCACCAGGCCTCACCTTATCAGGTCTGGCACCCAGTGTTGCCTCCTCCTCCTCAGCAGGCAGCAGTATCATCGAGTAGGCCTTGCTCTCCCGTGTGTAGCGAGGCCGGCTCCTGCGGGCAGTGTCAGGGCTGCTGGTGCCTCCCTCAACCCCACCAGGATCTTCACCACGCCCAGGCCGCGCTGGTGTCCGCAGCAAATCTCCAAGTGTGGCTTTCCGGGTACGGGCTGCTGCCCCAGGACTGGTCTCTAGATCAGGCCGGGGACCCCGTGTTGAACGAGGCTTCTTAAAGGCAAAGAGAGTGCCCAGCTTCTTTCGAAGTGTACGGGGGACAGGAGTGGGACCCCCCTCAGTGGCCAGGTCCTCCTCGGGGGCCCAGCTGTGGGGATAACCAGCAGTAAGTGCAGAAGCCCATAGGCAGCACCCCCGTCCCACCCTCAGCAATGCCCCTCGCTCACAGACGATCCTGCTGGATCAGCCTTTTGGAGAAGAATTCCTCCACACCCTCATCCACGCGGGCACTGAGCCCATTCCCTTCCTGTGGTAGGGCTGGAGGCACCTGGGGGACACCATGAGGTCGGGGGTCAGGACTGGGTGAACTTGTGTCTTCTCCCTCCAGTGTAGCTGTTGACCCTGGTAACACTAGGAGCTGGGGTAGCCTTAGCTGACACCAGACCCTCCACTGTCCAGTGTTGGGCAGGAGTGCTCCCTCTCACTGCTGCCCCAGCCCCCCAGCCCACACCAGTTCTTGTCCAAGTATCTCATTCCCCGAACCACCAGGCCACCAGTAGGCTACAGCCCTCCCACCCCACGGGGGTCACATACTCCTACTTAGCACCCACTGTTTCCAACAGTTCCTGCAGTACCCCCACCCCCACCCYGGCCTGCTGCCGGCTTAGTGGCGCCGGCTGCTGCGTCAGACCCTGGGGGGGGGGGGGCTCAGGCCAGCTTCTGCCTTCTGCTGGTACCCAGCCCATGCATGCATCTCCCCAGTTATATACTGACTGGTCTCGCAGGAGTCGCAGGATTGTCCCCGCGGCTCGGCTGCCTAGCACCTATCAGTAACACCCGGGGAAAGAGGGCAAGACGGACACCCTCCCTCACACATCCACCCAAGCAGCGGGCCACTCTGAGGCGCATCCCACATGAAACCCACACACCAGTGGCCTCTCAGGCATGGCCTGGGGTAGCGGGTAGCTGGGAAGAAGCCAGGACGCGACCGAGGACCAGGTGGCCTTGGGCCCCCACAACCCGACTCCCTGCCAGCCCTTACCCTGAGGAGCCATCAGGCCACTTATGACCCTTAGATCTAAAAGCCCCTGAGTGGGGGAAGGGCGCTCACCTGGGGGCCCCCCGGCGGGGGGCGATGGTGGTGCTGGCGGCGTGGCCGTGGCCGGGCCCGAGTCGGATGGCGCAGGGGTTGTCCAGCGGGTGGCAGGTCCATGCGAGGCAGCGGGCCGGCTGGGGGTCCGGGGGCGGCAGGGCTTGGAGAGCCGCGCGCGGACGGCCCCGCCTGCGGCTCCGCATCTTCCCCAGGAGCTGCCAGCTCGGGCTCCCGCTCTGCTTCCTCAGCAGCACCTGAGGCGAGAGCACCAGAAGAGCAAGGAGTAGGAGTCCGAGGAGGTGGCGGCGGAGGCGCTAGGGCGGCGGGGGACCCGCCCAGGGCGCGGGGAGGGGCCCGGCTACGCCGCCAGCCCCTCCCCCGCCGCTACTGTCCGTGGTGCTGAGCGCGGCCCCGAGCGCGCGGCTCCGCACCATCATCAAGAACGCATGTTCTTGGGGTAGGGAACAGGCAGGGAAGGCTAGGAAGCAGGTGTTCTGGCCCAGATCTGCTCAAATCTCACTCCGTGCTGACCTCAGCTTTGCAGGTTGCACAGGGTCTTGGCCTGGCCCAGGCAAGAGTTAGAAAATACTGGAAACAGGACTGAATGAGCGTCAAGGTGTCCAGGTCCCCAGGTCTAATGGAGTGAGTTTCAGCCCGCTTGAGTAAACTCTCCTCCCCCAAGACCTTGACTTACGGTGTCTAGGGGGAACCAGGTGAAAACAGTGACTGGGCTCAAGCCATTTTCGTGATGGACAGTCATCCTGGTGAGGAGGGCACAACTTCAGGCTGAGGGCACAACTCCAGAAAAACTGTTTCCATATCCCAGAGCAAGAWGGAAAGAATTTGAGTTCTAGGCCTTGAATTTTGAGACTGCTTACCTTCTCCTCCTCCTCCTCTTCCACTTCCTTCTCTTCCTCAGGGAAGAAAAGACATTCCAATTCCCCAGGTCTGAGGGAGCAGGACTCACCTCCATCCAGTGCTGGTAGGGCAGGGGGCATTGCTACTGGTGCCTGCTCAGCAAGATTCTCTACCTGTAATATCAGACAACTTAGAGATGGACAGTGCTAAGGGAACTCTGAAGTAGCCCTGGACTACATGACCCCAAAGGATATTACAAAGCCCCTGCTAGGTGGATGGCCAGGTCACAGCATGTGTACATGTGCAAATATGTACACAACTCCTCACCAGCCGATCCCGGGCTGCACTTAGACCGGCCAGAGCCTGAGTCACAATGCTCTCTGCCAGGGTCCTGGTGACTGATAGCCGCATATCCCTATGGGCAGAAAAGGGTGAGGGTTAGTGTGCTGGCTGTGCTCAGCCTTACCCAAATCAGCCCCACCCAACTCAGCCCCACCCTGCTTACCTGAGCCTAGTGAAGATATCTTGCAGCAGCTGTTCTGGAAGCAGTTCTGGGAGGCTCTTTGAGCCTACAAGGACCCCTTCTAACTGCTCCCTCCAGCCAGGTCCCTGCAGCATTTGTGGGCAGAGGCTCCTTGTTGTGTCCAGTGTGGCCTGAGTGAAGTCCTGGACAAAGGTCCAAGTATGATGAGCTAGGACCTATGTCCCTTGGCTTGAGGCTATGACTCTTACAAATCCCTCGTTGACTCAATTGATACCATTGTCAGGTCTATAGGATGAGGATATGCATATGGAGGTAGAGCTGGGGCAGGAGTACCATCTCACCTGGATGTCCTGGTGGCAGAGTTTGCCCACCTGTCCCAAGAGGCTCTCTAGCTTCTGCTGCAGTTGCCAGTGATGGCTTGGGGAATTCCCAGCTTCATCCAAAATGGGGAGTATCTGAGGACCAAAGAATAGAAGGAGTTACAAGTTGACATGTGACTAAGAGGAGAAAGGTCCTTATAATGGGAAGGGAAGTGCTCACGCTGAGAGAGAAGTTGGCGTTTTGGATGGCATCCTCAGCTTGGTGCACAGCAGCTTCACCCTGGGGCCCAGCCCCACAGCCCAACAGCTCCATGTGCTCCTGCACCGACTGACACAGTTCGTTCACTTCCTGGGGGCATTAGGGATCAGTCCAGGCCTAGTCCCCTCTCAGTCCCCCAGACCTGCCTACATCCCTCCCAGGATCTCTAAAACTACACAATCAGGCCAGCTGCTTAGGAATCCTGTTTAAGGAAGAGAGCAGTGTCTCTTCCTTTGGGCCATTTTAGGGACTCAATGCTTCCTAAGTGCCCAGATCAGGAAGGAAAGAAGCTGTGAGTCATTCTGTGTTGTAGAAGCTCAGTCTGTCCACCATCCGCCTAGACAGAGCATGGATGGATGGGTGAGTCGGGGGCTGGGGGAGAGACGAGAGTGAGAAGTTATGGAGGAGGGACTGGGGAAGCAAGGGATATTTTTTTCTAAATATTCATCTTTTTTTAGTTGTAGTTGGACACAATACCTTCATTTTACTTATTTATTTTTATGTGGTACTAAGGATCGAACCCTGGGCCTTGCACATGTTAGGCAATCACTCTACCACTGAACTACAACCCAAGCCCCGCAAGGGATAACTCATGTTGAGGTGAGGAGTACATTTTGTTGTTGCTGCTTTGGTTTGGTTTTTGTTGTTGTTGTTGTTGTTGTTGTACTGAGGCTTGAACCCAGGGCCTTGCACATGCCAGGCAAGAGTTCTATTACTGAGCTATATTCCCAGACATTTTTTGATTTTTATTTTGAGACAGGGTCTCACCAAGTTGCCTGGGCTGGCCTTGAGCTTGCATTTTCCTGCCTCAGCCTCCCAAGAAGCTGGGATTACAGGGGTGCACTGCTGTACCTAACTGAGCAGTGCATGTTTAAGAACTGGTCCAGAGTCAGGACCAAGGAGGACTGTGAGGGCTCCAATGTGGCCAGGAGGAAACTGGATGGATCTGGAAGGACACTTAAATCTCTGTCCACAGCACTTTGGTGGTAGTGGGCACCAAGGAAATTGGGCCCCAGGTTAGAGAATTGGGCTTTGGAGAGATGAGATCACTTGAATGTGTGTAGCATGCAGCCACCATAGGATGTTGGATCAAGATGTCTGAAGCTTAGGGCTGGGGATTTGGCTCAAGCGGTAGCGAGCTTGCCTGGCATGCGTGCGGCCCAGGTTCGATCCTCAGCACCACATACCAACAAAGATGTTGTGTCCGCCGAGAACTAAAAAATAAATATTAAAAATTCTCTCTCTCTCTCTCTCTCCTCTCTCACTCTCTCTTTAAAAAAAAAATCATTAAAAAAAAAAAAAAAAAAAGATGTCTGAAGCTTAGGATTGGGAATGCAAAGGTGGGGATGTCTTGAAAAGTCTAAGTAGTGAAGGGATGAAGCCAGAGATGGAGTTGCTGGGTTTGGCCACAGAGGTGAGTGGAGAAAGGAGGAGAGTGCTGTTGAGTGGAAAAACAGAGATGAGGCTACAGGAAGTGAGGGAAGTTTTTAAAATACTTCCTGTCTTCAATAGGAAAATCTGTTTACATACTTAAATTAGGGGTGTTATTTGGAAACCCATTTCAGTAGTGGCTGGCTGTCCCTAGACCAAGGAGAGGAAATTTTCTGAGACAGCAGAACTCTGGCACCTTGGCCCCAGGAAAGTCATACCCTCAGACTTATGGAGGCTTACTCAAGGTTGGGGCAGGCAACACTGACCTGTTCTGAGCGATCTGAGACCAGACCCAGTGGCTGAAGGCAGGATGCATGGTCAGAAGAGACAGGATTTGCCCGGTTGTTCCTCAAGAGACAGGTTTGGATCTGGGAGAAAGAGATATTTAGAAATGGCAGGGGGCAGAACCATTATGTGGAGAAGCACAGGGGAGGAGGGAACCCCCACCTGGTGGACTGCACGGGCAGTTAGTTCCGGGCGGCTACGCTGTGCCTGAGCCACATCATTCAGTGGCAGAGGCATGTTCTTCAGGCTGTGGTTCTGCTCCAGGGCCTGGGCCACATCCAGCAAGCCCAGAGCAGATGTTTGGTTCCGGTCCCATATCACAGACCTGGGCCAGGCTGGACTTCAGTTGGGAGCAGAGCCCCACAAGGCCACACCCAATTCACAGTACTTGCCCATTCACCCACTGGTCTGCTCCTTCAACCCTGCCATTTAGCTCAGCACTCTGCTCCTTGCCACACCCTCCTACCCTAATGGTCCCACCCCTAAGATGACCCTGCCCACCGGAGCCTTGTGTTGATTCGTAGTGCCTTGGCCAGCATCTTGGCGCCTGTATCCCCCATGGCATTTCCGCTGATATCCAGTGATGTCAGGTTAGGATTGGTGCCCAGGGCCCGCAGCAGGACACTGGCGCCTAGCTTTAGCCTTGACTCAGCCACAGACAGAGACTGCAGAGGCTAGGGTTAAAAGAAAGCTATTGATATTGGAGTTAAGTGATTAGCAATGGGAGTAGACCACAGGGTCTGAGGAAGCAAGAAAGAAGGGTCAAAGGGGTCTATCGCCCGAGGACCTTGCAAGGTCCTGTGAACTCACACAGTCGTCATCCTGCATAAGCTGGACAATCCGGTGCAGGACGTCATCCAGGGTCTCCCTGTGGACAGGGATGCTGTTTGGTCAGGGGCCTAAGGCAGTGGGGTTCTGTCTGGGATAGCCAGAGGTGGGAGGGAAGCTCACTTGCACCGGACATTGAAGTTCCTTCCAAGCGCCACATGTCTTAAGGATCGGCTCCTCCCAATGGCCAGCACCAGGGTCACCATGTCTGAGCCGAAACCTGGGGGTAACTAGAGTCATACACAGGGGGATGCTGTGGGGGCAGGGAGGGGTGGATGATGAGAGGATGTGTTCCCCAGCAGCCTCACCATTATCTGCCAGATCCAAGGAGCTCACAGCACTGGCATCACACACTAAGTCTTGTATCACCTGGGCACCAGCCGAGCGCAGCTGGAAGTACAAAGTGGGATGTTCAGGCCACTTAGGCCACAGTGGAGAGGACAGGTGGCCAACAGCCCCATTCTTCCCCTCTCCCAGTCCCATTCCTGGTATGTCTGTGCCTCTCACACCTAGAGCAGCATGCTCACCTCACAAGCGCTGAGGTCCAGATGCAGGTCATGAATGTGCGTATTGAGTGCCAGGCCATCTAAAAGGGCCCTGGGAAAGGATGGATGTCACAGGGGATAGCTGGAGTTGGGAAAGGTGGCCCCAGGAATCAAACGAATACCAAGAAGTCAGGATCAGATGTGGGGAAAGTTGTGGGTGCTTTAGGAGCAGGGTGAGACACCAGAGAACTGGTTAAGAGGACATGAGGGTGTGCAGAGAAACTGACCTGAGAGCATCAGGTGGCAGCTTGCAGCCCGCCAGGCCCAGGTGCCGCAGTGTCCCGGCACGGCTAAGGAAGAGCTGCAGTGCGGCAGGCGCGGCCCGGGACTTCCTGGGGTGGAAAGCAGGAGAAGTAAGCTTCAGGGGCAAGGAGGCCCCTAGCAGCCTCTTCCTGCTCCCACCTGTCCCCCTTACGTGCGGGAGAAGACATTCCTTGAAGCATCGAGGTAGTTGAGGTTGGAGCAGCAGCCTCGGGACAGCGCTGCAAAGAGCTGTGGGAGGGGGACATTGGTTACAGGTTGGAAGACGATGGCCTGACCACCCCCACCCGCTCTTCAGTCTACCCTGCTTGGGCAACCAGGTCCCACCAATCATCCCCTCATGACCACCCTCTCACAGTGTCCAGGGCAGCGTCAGTGCCTGCAAGATTCAGGAACGTCAGAACATTAGGACGACGCAGGAAACTATAGAGGCCCTGGTGGAAGGATGGCAGCCAGAGAGTCAGGGATCACCTACCTGGTGCTTCCTGATATCCCACTGCCTGCAGCAACCCTAATCTCTTGATTACAGTCACTCACCCCATTGTCTTCAGAGGCGCCCAGGGCCCCAGGATTTCCAGAAAGGTCCAAGTGGGTCAAGGCAGAATCAAAGTCGGCATTGATGGCCAGTGCCCTGCCCAGAGCCCTCATTCCTGGAGAGGGTGAAAGGGGTGATCCATCAATCAGGCAAATGCCCCTTCCCTTCTCCCACCCGACTGGCCACCCCATCCACCTCGCTGTGTCAGTCCTGTCTGTGCTAGGCTGAGTTTCTTCAGGGCTCCCGGACGATGCTCCAGGTGTCTGCTGAGTGCAGCCATGCCTGGGGATGGGACAGTGTTGTGAGACTTACCTCCTCCAGCCTCTTGCCCCAGGGCTATCCCAGGCTCAGCCATACCTCTGTCATCCAGCAGGTTCCCTGCCAAGCTGATTTCCCGAAGTCCAGAGCTTGAATGTCCTGCCAGTGCCTGGGCTAGTCGCCGGACAAAGTCTCTGAGGACCAAGACCCCAGGCATGAGACTTAGACCAGGCCACTAGCCCCMAGTCCCAAGTCCTGGATTGCCCTCCCCAAACCCTACCCTGTCCCCTTACCCTCTTAGGCCACAGGTCTCCAGCACCAGCTCTTCCAAGTGGGACGACTGACTCATCATGTGCAGAATCTGTTCTGAGACCTCGAGGCTCTGATACCAGAGGATAATGGCTCAGGAGACTGCACCTGGATCCCCACACCCTTGGCCCCTCCCTGCCCTACACCCTCACCAGCTTCATGTCCACACAGGAGAGGCACCGGAACCATAGGTTGTAAGACAGGGCAGCTACACTCAAGGCCAAGTCCCTGGAGGGAGCAGGCAGAGACAGAGCTCAGGGCTTTCTGGCTAGATTCTAGGACCAGCAACCCCTTCATGGAGAGGCAGAGGCCCGGGAATGTGGCTCCTAGAATCCTCCACCCCTTCTGATCCTAGCAGGCCCCGCACCGGCTGCCAAGGTGGCTGAAGTCTCCTAGGTTGAAATGGCGGCAACCCTGACGATGATAGATGGTGTCCACATCCTGGATGGGAAGAAGGTGTCTACAAACAGCTTCAGGTCACAAAGGGTAGGGAGGGTCTCAGCATACCTGGAGGACCAGATGCCTCCAGAGCCCCCAGAGAGGGCTCTACCCTCACCCACTGAATCTCCTCTTGGAAAGGAAAGCCATTGTAGTCACACAGAGCCTCGTAGGTCTCCAGGAAGCCACCTGGGGAGGTAGGTGCCAGGGGTATGATAGAGGAAAGGAGAGAGACAGAGGTCAGAGATGGAGGAAGATCAGATCCAGGTRGGGTGGTGGTTGTGACCCAACCCAAGTGGTTCTGTTCAGTTGGGAGTCCCCCAACTCCAGGGGTCTGAGGCTAATAGGTAGGGGGAGACTGGAAGGTCTATGTGGCCCTGCCTTGGCCCTCACCACAGGGACTGCCAGGTGCAGTGGACTCGGCAGAGCTGCTTCTCTCCAGTCGAGCCAGTATGGAGGGGGGTGTGGGCTTCCGGAATAGCTTCCTGGGAAGGGGATAAAGGAGAAGAGGCAAGGGACTTCTAGTCCCTGAGAGGTGCCCATCCAGAGTATCTCCTGCTGACCTCATTCGACCCTTTGCAGTAGTTTTCCAGACTCACCCAAGGGTAGAGCGAGGGAAGACCTTCTTGATGGCTGCAGCCACATGCTTGGCCATCTGTTCCAGGGCAGCTACACCAGGAAATTCCAGGACCAGCTCAGGCAATGATTCCAGCTCAAAGGTGGCCTGGGGAGGGAGGGTAGGACTGCTGGGCCCCAGCTCCACGTGTGGGAGCAGGTTTCCCTTCCAGAACTCCATGTGTAGGGAGTGAAGACTAGGCTGCAGGCCCAAGTGGTACCAGACGTCTTACCTGAGGAGGTGTCTCTTGAAGTGCCATGGCCTGGACTTCCAGGTAGCTGAATGTACAGTCCACCTAGGGGGTGCTTGGATCAGCTGGGACCAAGCCCTGAGCTCACTCTCATGGGAGCCCAGCTTTTTTTTTTTT